AAAAAAAAAAAAAAAAAAGATAGGAAGGGGGTAGGTGAGAATCGAGAGGATGAGAAGGAGGGGAGCAGGGGGCTGGGAGGGAAAGGGACAAGGGAAAGGAGGGAGAGGGGAATTAAACAGAGAGAGGAGGAAAGTAGGACGGGGGTTAAGGGAGGCTCAGGAGCAAGACGTGGAGGAAGACAAAGGATGCAACAGAAAGTCACTGCTCGACAAACTTATAAATCTCTCTGCAGCCTAATTTTAAATGACTAAGCCTCTTCACTGACCAGTAATGCGATAACGTACGTGGATGGACTATAACGGTTTCACAAGGTTCATGCCATGGGGGGTGTCGACCCCGGACGTACGTCAATCAATATCAGCCGATACCTGCTTGCTTTGATCCGAAAGCGACTCCAATTCCCTATCGATACCTGGGGAAGAAGATAAACTTATGTGCCGCCAGGCTTCCCTCTCCACCTTACGGCGAACTTCCTGTCTGAGTCCCATCTGAATGGACACCAATTACCAATGTACACCTCTCTCTCTCTCTCTCTCACACACACACACACACACACACACACACACACACACACACACACACACACACACACACACGCACACACACACACACACACACATGCGTGTTCCCGAACCAGCGCCCACAACAGGCACGTTCTCTGTTGATTGTCATGTGTCTTTTAAGGTACGCATTTAGAAGTATGGTTCGACAGGTTAAGAGACCGTATCCTGCCCGTTCCTTGGTACTAGAATCAGGTACTTAACGGAAACAAATTCCTGAGCCGAAATATACACACAAACAACAAAAAACCCTAAAGAACACAAAAAAAAGTGATCTACTTAGCACAGCCTTAGGGCCTGGTCTTAAAGCTTCCCATGTTCGTTCTGGCTCAGGAGCGTAAAGTGGGTGCGATCTGGGCCTTCGTCCAAAACCATTTTTCCTTCTCAAGTAAAGGAGCCCAAGGGGACATAGAGGAGAGAAGGATGACCCCCGCCCAATAGGACGAGTAGGAGAAGAGAACGGCCAAACGAAAACTCGACTTTCTGTAAATGGAGCGGGAATAAATGGGGGAGCTGCAAGGAATCTGCAAAGGGACTGCTCGCAGGTAAGGCTAGACACACGGCACCAAAGCCAGAATACTAGTAATTGCAAGGCAAATTGGTCAGGGAACTTCCGAGAGGCAAGTGCAGCTGATGGGGTTCTTGGGTTTAGTAGCTTAAAGTTGTACCCCTAACCCTCATCCCCCCCCCAAAATACACAGCCAACCAAACCCCCAGCATGGCATGCTCCCCCCGTCCATCTCTGCCAAAACATCTGTACCCCGATTGCACACATTTCGGCCAGACAGGCAAAAACCTTGACGAGGGAGGGGAGTGACAGCCATGAATTTGACACGTGTCAACTTTTCCATAAAAAATAGAATCTCCAACGAAGTAGAGGACAGACAAACATACGTGACAAGATGAAAGAGAGAGAGACGCCACACGAGGCGCAAGAACATACATTTGGAGTGATCAAACTCACAAGACGGAACGAAGAGAACAAAACGAGAGAGAAAGGTTTGTGCAAAATGAAGTGCATGCCGGGATACGAAGGGGGGGGGGGGGGGGGGGAGAGAGAGAGAGAGAGAGATGGAGACGGAACGAAGAGTACAAGACGAAAGAGAAAGGTTTGTGCAAAAGGAAGTGCATGCCGGGATAAGATAAGAGAGAGAGAGAGAGAGAGATGGACGGGGGGAGAAGAAGAGAGAAGACCGGGACAATACCTGGAGATCCAGACATGCCTCCGCCGGCAGCAGCAGCTGCTGCGGCAGCGGCAGCTGCTGCAAACTGCGTGTTCCTTGCCATGTTGGAGTAATCGGCCGCGTTATCTGCAGCATCTCTGCTCTCTTGGGCTTTTGCTTCGGCAAGTCGGGAGATCAAGATCCTCTTGGTTCCTGTCATGTCCAATCCCCTCGTCTTGAGGGCGGCCTTGAGCTCTGCAACGGTCATCTTGGTGGTGGCGGGGTCCGTCTGCCCTGCCACTCTGGCGCGCTTTGTCGTGTCCGTCTTGCCCCCTGAGGAGTTCTCATCCTCGTCATCATGAGCCCCTCTCTTCCGCCCTCTGTAGCCGGGAGGGGTCGACTGGATCTGTGTCTGCTGCTGCTGCGATTGCGTAGACTGCTGCTGCTGTTGGAGAAGCATCATCTGGGCCTTCTCTATATCCATCGCTGCATCTAGACGGGAAACCTGCCATCATTCACAACAACCAAACGGACAGTCGTTCGCCGCGCTCAATCCCTTTTTTCTTTTTTTCTTTTTTTTTCCTTTTGTTTTCTTTTTTTCTTTTTTGAAGGCCCCTATGCAAGGGCCTCTATCCCAGTGGAGGTAAGAAAACCACCGAGATTGAGGCTTTTTGCCTACCAGGCTGCTCCATCTATTGGTGGGGAGCATCATCACCTGCTGGAAACAGGGTCCAGCGTCCCTTGAATACATCAAAAACATGTGTAACCCATGAAACAGCAAAATCAAATCACAGAAGATCCGATACTCCGGCTTCTATCGGCAGCAGCATTTTCTTGTCAAATATTCTATTTCGTCAGTAATTCCGTTTATTCGATGGTCGAATAAAACGCCCGCCCATTATCGCTGCATCTGGACTGAAAGTTGTCCAAAATACAGCTAGCTAACTATAATGACCAGGCATAACTTCTATTCGAGCGAAGACTGAAGGCCGACAATGTGCCACACAGCCTTTCGAGAGAGAGCCCACAAACGCCCAGCCTCTTGTCATCACCACATTCTATCACCATCGTCAGGTTCGTTCGATCCGGTTCAACTATCAACGGATTCACACAGAAAAGCTAGGCCAGGAAAAAAAAAAAAAAAAAAAAAAAAAAAAAAAAAAGCACCTAGCGTACATTCATGACAAGGGTGATTTTTGTTCGGGGCAAGACGGCGCCCGGTTCAACAATCAACAGATCCGATGGAGCAAATCGGGTTTCTGGTAATGCCACGTGGTGCAATCAACAGGTTCGCCGCCTGCTGTTTTCAAACCACGTGGCAAATCCAAACCACGTGGTGCGTACCAGATCGCATGCAGTCAGTCTGAGCTCGAATACATCTCCACGTGGATTTGATCTTCCATTGCATACAACTCAGCATCCCTTGAGCCGAAGCCGGAAATCGGGTCCAGTGTCCCTTTTGAACATTTACGGAAAGACGGTATAGGTGCAATCAGCGGACTCGTTCAAAAGGTGTACTCAACAACACACGGTATGAGCTAGTGTGTTCGGAGGAAAGACGGTAGGTGCAATCAGCGGACTCGTTCCGATTGCCCACGTGGAGGCATTAACAGATTCACAAATCAACAGATTCACACAGGACGCAAAACCTGGCACTACTTCCTGTTTTCAAGCCACGAAGCGAATTTAACCCACGTGATAGATATTACCAGATCGCATTCATTCGGTTTGAACAGCTTGATTGCCCCATCAGATTGAAGGAAAACAGCCGCAACAGGGGCATCTTCAGTCCATACACCAAGCCACGTCGGGTAGCACTTGCCAACCATCCAACTAAGCAGAGTGCACGCAAACCACGTGTCACCGTCGCCAGGTTCCGTTGAACAGAGCACAGGACAACACTAAGAAGCATCCACGAACATATCATCACTGATTCCATCAGTAGTAGTTCCAACAGACATACTCACACTTGCAATTCCTGAATGCATATGACTGCAATCACGGCCAGATTCGGTTCAGATGACAAGGGTGAGGATGCCCCGACACTGTACACAAACAGGTTATAAAAACTCGGGTTACACGAGCAACAAAGGACATATGCTAAACATATCATCACGGATTGCACCAGTGATCGTACTGTGGATTCAATGAGACTCCAAACGACATACCGGCGAATGAGCAGGCAGCCCTCAACTGCAGCTAGCGCTGTGTATATGCTGAAGGCAGCAAGTGGTCTGCAAGCTCTTGCTGCGACTCTTCCAAGTACCAAGGAAGACGAGGTCGGGGACATACAAAGAATTGCATCAAGCAAGTAAAGTAGGGATGCATAGCATGGAATTCTCTGGGAATTCTTTTTTTTCTGTTTTTTTTTTTGCGAGGTGCGACCAAGTAAAGCAGGGATTACAAAAAAAAAAAAAGTAGGGATTACATCGGATCGCAAAAAAGTGACGAACAAATGACAATCAGGCCGTGCCAACAGTAAGGAATATTTCGAAAACCGAATCCGGGCATAGAGACGGTCAGATACATGCTGGAAATTTGTATTGTGAGCATGCACGCGCTAGAAGGCAGACATGGAGTCATCGCCCTTTTGTCTCTGTGGCCGTCGATGCTTTGTAATGGATGGTCCAGGACAACGGACGGTGGAGAGGCAATTACAAATACGGCAACCAAAATCTCTCACCCAAAAGAAAGAAAAAAGCAGGAAATAAACGAAAATCTCAGCGCTGTGCAGTAAAGAAACGGGGGCGGCTCCCAATAGTAAAGAGAAGGTGGGATTAGACGTCTGATATGTACGTATTCTATCTAGACACATGGAGAAAAACAGATCAAAAGAAAGGCACTAGAAAGCAACACTCCATCACTTGTTTTTCGAAGTCATCGAAGAGGTGCAAAAGGCAATACGTCGTATCAACCATACTTTCGAGTGTGTAATAACCTCTCCCTAGGTAGAAGAACCCCTCTTCATTGCGGTCGTCATTGTCCTGGATTTCTAGTGGGCGTGGGCATGGGTTTCTTGTGGGCGTGGGTTTCCACTTGGTAACCATACTTTCGAGTGTGTAATGACCTCTCCCTAGGTAGAAGAACCCCTCTTTGTTGCTGTCGTCATTGTCCTGGACTTCTAGTGGACGTGGGCACGGGTTTCTAGTGGGTGCAGGTTTCTGCTTGGCATGGGTTTCCAGTGGGCACCTGGGCCGCTTCTAGTGGGTGTGGACCCGACCCAGAAATACACGGCCGCTGCATCGCAGTCATCTCGCGGCCAAGTTCCACTTACCCTGTTTCTCCGTTTCGGGTCGTTGATCTCCGGAATCGACAGTTGGAAATGAACGATCCGGGTAAGTGGGACTTTCCCTTGCTCTATCAGGACTCTTTACTCCGGGGGCGAGGTCCCACTAGCGAAGAGGATCGGATGAAGCTCCTGAATCTGGGCTTGTTTTCAGCAGAGATGCAGAAAAGCAGTTCAATCTCAATTCTCTGCGCCTTCGCACAAACCCGTCCAGATTCAGGCGTTCAATCCAATCCTCTTTGCTAGTGGAACCGCGGCCTCGGAGGTAGGTACCACAAACGCGGTCTCGACTAGGCACATATTTATCTTCTTGAAGCTATATTCTTCTGTGAATTTCACCTTTCACTATCTACCTACCACTACTCCTAAAGGCTATAAAGGGTACC